AAGGAAGGAAGGAAGGAAGGAAGGAAGGAAGGAAGGGAGAGAAAATCAGAGAAAACCTTGGCAAGCTTGAGATAGGCAAAAAGTCCCTCATTAAACAAACAACAATAAAAAAAACAATTAGAGAAAAACAATATAGATAACTATCAAATTAAAACTATCTGTTCATAGGGAGGGGCTGTCTCTAACGCTTTGGCTGGCATTTGGGAGCATATTCCTCATACTGGGTCACCCTGCCCAGCCTTAATGCAAGGGGAGGTGCTGAGTCCTACCAAAACTTGACAGACCATGCTTTGCTGATGTCCATGGGAGGCCTGCTCCTTTCTGAACAAAAATGGAAGAGCAGTAGATGGGAAGCAGGGAGCAGAGAGAAGGTGGGAGTGGAAATGGAAGGAGAAGAGGAAGGAGAAACTAGGGTCAGGATGAAAAATAAATAAATAAATTTAATAATAAAAAAAAAAAAAAGAACTATCTGCTCTTGGAAAACACGGTTGATAAGATGAAGGCCAAGCTCCAGATCCAAAGGATCTACTGTGAAGCAGGCATCTGAGAAGGGGCTCTGCGCTGGGCATGGTGGTGCAGGACCTTAATCCAGCACTAGACCAGGGAGGCAGAGCAGACAGATACCTCCGAATCCAAGGTCAGCCTGATCTAAATAGTGGTCCCAGGCTACCAACTGACACCCTGTCTCAAAAAGCAAAATTACTAGAAAAAGAAAAGCCAGGGCTGGAGCCAGGCGGTGGTGGCGCACGCCTTTAGTCCCAGTACTCAGGAGGCAGAGCCAGGCGGATCTCTGTGAGTTTGAGGCCAGCCTGGTCTACAGAGTGAGATCCAGGACAGGCACCAAAACTACACAGAGAAACCCTGTCTTGAAAAACAAACAAACAAAAAAATAGAAAGGAAGGGAGGGAGGGAGGGAGGGAGGGAGGGAGGGAGGGAGGGAGGGAGGAAGGAAGGAAGGAAGGAAGGAAGGAAGGAAGGAAGGAAGGAAGGAAGGAAAAAAAAAAGAAAGAAACAAAGAAAGAAAGAAAAAGCCAGGCCTGGAGAAATGGCTCAGCAGTTAAGAGGATCTAAGGGACTTTTAAGAGACCAAAGTTTGAGTTCCAGTGGCCATATCAGGAGATTCACAGCCTTCTGTTATTTCAGCTCCAGGGGATCTGATACTTCTGGTCTCCACAGGCACCCACATTCACATGCACATACCCACTGGCAGGCAGGAGGCAGACAGACATGCATGCACTTGTGTATGAGCGTGTGACTGTGACTGTGTTACTGTGTGACTGTGACTGTGTGACTGTGTGACTGTGACTGTGTGACTGTGTGACTGTGTGACTGTGACTGTGTAACTGTGTGACTGTGACTGTGTGACTGCGGGTGCAGCGTGGCAGCTGTGTGAGTGTGTGACTGTGTGACTGTGACTGTGTGACTGTGTGAGTGTGTGACTGTGTAACTGTGTGACTGTGACTGTGTGACTGTGTGAGTGTGTGACTGCGGGTGTAGTGTGCCAGCTGTGTGACTGTGACTGTAACTGTGTGACTGTGACTGTGTGACTGTGTGACTACGGGTACGGTGTGGCAGATGTCCCCTCCCCCCATGATGGAATGTGTCCTTTCAAACTCTAAGCCAGAATAGATCTTTCCCTCCTTGAAAACTTGTAAGAGAAAAGTCCTGAGAATTTTGACCTGGACGTGAGGACACAGACCTTACCAAGGGTTCTCACGCAGTCTCTTCTCATCCACTCAGTTCCTGGGATAGTCCCTACTGACACTATGCTATTCAACTGCGTAACTCTGACCAACCTACCTTGGTTAAGTATTCCTGGGGGGTGGGTGCTGGGCTGAACTCACGACTGGAAGGGACGTCCTCTTCTCTCCTGACATCTAGAATCAGCTGTGCCACGTAATTTTCCTGGAATCGTGTCCTTTTCCCCAAAGCTCCTGAAAATTAAAATAAAATCCTACCTGTAGATCTGCCAAGTCATAGGACAATCGTGATGACTAATATTTTCAGAATAGTTTTCTGCATTCATGTATGAGAAACTTGAGACCCAGTGATATTAAAAATGACTTCCTGAAGCTAAGGAATTAAGGTGCCAAGGCTCAAACCCAGGATTCCTGACACTAGATCCTCAATCTCAATCCCTATTTTTGTTTATTTTTTAGTCTCTTCTGAAAAAGGTGACTTATTAAGTACTGCATACACACACATACACACTATATCCATAAATGTGTGTATGAATGACACCCATGGAAACACAGAGGTGAACACTCGTCATCCCTCGCTCAGGACCACAGGCTCCCCACGTTAGAGCCAGCACTCAGTCACTGCCTCGGCTTCTGAGACCCAGGCGAGCACTCCATCTGGTTTCATACAGCAGTTTTTCTTCATGTCTCTGAAATAATATGCTGCAGAAGAACTATTTTCAGACCACTTTGAAAAGAAGCAAAGTTTCAACATCCACTCTCTGGAAAATGTGGGGTTACAAAGACTAGCCTAAGAAAACCACTTCCTATAGTGAGATGACTCTGCCTCTGAGTTACTGTCATCCCCATGAACATGTCCTGCTCTGGATGGCCACCAAAGTGGCTTAACAGCTCACTTTTTTATACTAAGTCCACAGCTGGGTGGAAAAAAAAAAACATAATCTGGGTCTCATTTTTTATCTGGGAGCACACTTCTATTTCTAAGTTCTTCACCTCAACTTTGGGAAAAAATAAAAAACTGTAATGGCTATTAAATATACCACCAGTTAAAGCTGAACATACAAAGCACTGTGTCATTAATATTTAAATAATCCCCCAAAAGTCTCCTAGAACAAAAATATTTGAAAAAAAAATCTCTGAAATGAATCTCACAAGTTTATTACATGTAACTATATTTTCAAATACAGACAAGACTCCAAGTTATTCATGGCAGTATTCCAAAAATTATAAACTAGATAGTAATAACTTTTCTCACACAAACACTGTAATAAAAGAAGGCTAAGATCCCACAGAGCCATATTTGATTCACAGTACACCTAGAGGATTTTATCAATTAACATTGACTCGATATGAAGCACAGAACGCCAGGGCTGAGAACAGACCTATGAGATGATCCAGGCCTAGCATGGGACAATTGTGTCAGTCACTGAATGCACAGGCAGGCGTCATTAGTTCATTCATACTGAACGTCAACTATACTGTAATAGATTGGGGATAGAGCGGCACGCAGTACAATAGCACTTGGAAGAGACAACAGAGGATTCAGGAGAAATTCTGTAACTCATTCATTCTTTCAGCATATACATACAGTGTATGTCTGTACAGCTTCAGAGACTGACCTAACTAAGGAGAGGAGGAGGGATAAAGAAAATGACAGACACAAAAGCTGAGATCAGACGATCTGGGCTCTAGGATGCAGAAGCCACGGTACCCTAGATGCTCAGCATGTTTATTATATGCAGTTGGGAGACAGGGTGGTTATATACAGATAAACAAGGAGGCAGGGTTATTATATACAGATAAACAAGGAAGCGGAGTTATAATATACAGATAAACAAGGAGATGGGGTGGTTATATTCAGCTAAACAAGAAGGCAGGGTCATTATGTACAACTGAAAAAGGAGGCGGGGTTATTACATACAGATAAACAGGGAAGAAAGGTTATTATAGATAGCTGAACAAGGAGGCAGCCTTAGCTACTCTGGGCAGGCACAGGCTCTGTAGGGGAGCAGTCTGCAAGCTGTAACCATCTGGGCAGAGAAAGCTACGATGGACATTTTCTGCAGACACGGTCAACATTCACACTAGGACTTGAGGAAGGCTTTGTCATTGCTTCTGAGCCTCATCCAGGAAAGACTCTGCCACCCCCACGGGGCTGAGGCATCAGTCCCGAACATGGCTGTGCCCTTGTCAAATAATACATATTCACTCATTCACTCAGAACTTCACTTGTTCCCTACAATACTGAGTGCCACTATATTTCAGATGGTATTCTCATTCTCTCTATTTCTTTTATTTCTTTATTTGATTTGATTTGGTTTTTCAAGACAGGGTTCCTCTGTGTAGCTCTCTCTGGCCATCTTGGAACTCGCTCTGTAGCCCAGGCTGGCCTTAAACTCAGAGGTCCCCCTGCCTCTGCCTCCAGTGCAGATTAAAGGTGTGCGCCACCACACAGGGCTCAGACAGTACTCTCTACCACTAAAGACACACCTAAGAAATGCAATATGGAGTGTGGAAAAAGACAACATGAGGCATTTACAGGAATGGGCAATGCACGGGGCGGGGGCTAAACTCGAGAGTCAGGAAAGGCTCCCACGGTTCACACCAGAACCAAATGGTCTAAGGTCCAGTTATGTACTACTGGCTGCTATTACTACCAAATATTTCACTAACTTAGAACGAGGAATGGACTCTATGAAAAAAAAAAAAAAGCATGTAACTCCAAATTTGTTTGAAAATACAAACTTTAAATAAAATCTTTTAAATGTATTGTGAAATAAAAAATCGATAGGCTCTAAAATTTAAATACTAAGCCAGGCAGTGGTGGCTCACGCCTTTAATCTCAGCACTCGGCAGGCAGAGGCAGGCGGATCTTTGTGAGTTCGAGGCCAGCCTAGTCTACAGAGAGAGATCCAGGAAAGGCACAAAGCTACACAGAGAAACCCTGTCTGCGGGGGGCGGGGGGAATTAAATACTAGACCAAGTATGGTAGAGCATCCCAAATTCCAACACTAAGGAGACTAAGACAAGAGTATCGGGAGTTCAAGGCCTGCTGGGCTACATAAAGAAAAAACTAGAAATGAAAGGTTATAAATGCAGCCCAACAAGTTTGCTTTTTATCCTGTGATCAGTCTAGTTCTACATTAAAAAAAATAAATAAATAACCAAAAGGAATGGAGATGGCTCAGCCAATAAAGGATATGCCTCACAACCAAAAAGACAAAAAACAAAAAACAAAAAAACAAAAAAAAAAAACCTCAAATGCCGAAATACAACACAAACTGCCAACATACATACTAGCTTTTTTGTGAAATTAAATCAATTACCTGTGAAAAGTAAAGTCTTACCTGTCAGATCAACCTGTAACCTGCTGATGTCTTTAGCAGTATTGAACCGGTCTTTTGCTTCTTTATATTCATAATAATATAAAAATACATGTGCACATTCCAGATGGAATTGAATAGCTAAAAGTCGGCCTGAATCACCTTCAAATAAATTCTCTAGTTTCATCACTGTGAGACAAAAGATGAAGCATTAAAAATTAACATGAGTAAATGTAGAGTCCCAAAATAGTGAGGTATACATTGCATGGTTTAAGTTTTAAAGAACTTTAAACACATAAAAGAACACAAACACAACAGTAGTTAACAGCTAGCATTCTCTGAGCACTTATATGCTCCAAATAGGCAGTTAAGACCATATACATTGCATTCTGCACCTACACACTCAGTCCTAGGAGATGCTGTTCATAGCACTGATCCCTCCTAGGTGCCTGTCTTAACCATCCTATAAAAACATGGCCAGAAGCCGGGCGGTGGTGGCGCACGCCTTTAATCCCAGCACTCGGGAGGCAGAGCCAGGCGGATCTCTGTGAGTTCGAGGCCAGCCTGGGCTACCAAGTGAGCTCCAGGAAAGGCGCAAAGCTACACAGAGAAACCCTGTCTTGAAAAAACAAAAAAAAAAAAAAAAAAAAAAAAAACCATGGCCAGAAATATGGGAACATAAGATGTTGATACAAGGTGTCAAACCAACCTGAAAACTAAACACCATGGAAAATCTGAAGAAAGGGAAATTAGCTGAGTTCATTTCATAGAAAATATAGACTTTCTCCCTTAAGAATGGAAACATACATGTGTGTGAAAATGAGTATCAAATAGGCTCCTACACATACATCACATACACACACAACACACAACACACACACACACACACACACACACACATGCAAACTAATTAATTAGTGTAATGTAATTTTTAAAATGTTTAAATAAATAAAGCAAGGGAGAACAATAACCTAGCAACAAAACATCTGAGATAAAATGACTATAAAAATTAATTACATATACTAATGAGCATAGTACTATTACACACACCAGGGTTCAAGATTTCTCATATAGCAGGATGTTCATCCAACTGGTACCCCAAAACAGTATTCTCTACTACACGTCCTTGACATGCTGTTCTCTAAACTGTTTTCAGCAATGGCTTCGTCAGCTTTTGAGAAAGCAGTCTGTCAGAGTGAATGCCAAATGAAAGCATGGGAAATGTGCTTCAAGCATCCGAACGCTGGTGACGGTTTTCCAACATTCGAGCTGAGAGGAGTCTACCTCACTGAGAACAAGAACCACTGACAGGAAAGCGGTCTATACCTCCTGCAGCCAGCACACTGCTGTCACACAACTGCAGCAAGGGCTCAGAGACAACCGAAATACGTGGCATGACCAACCCCACTGACCAAGTCTACCCCAGGTAAAGACCCTAAGAGTCTCATTGTGATTTCACCTACGGTAAATACATCAGAGTCACTTATGATGAAGACAGCTCCCCACGCTGCTCCATCCTTTCCTGCACAATCCTGGACCTCCACTGCCCACCTGACTTCCTCTACTCTAGCCACAATGACTTTCCTTTGGACCTTCGGCCAATTATACTCTCTCAGGTCAGGGAGCCTTTATGGTTTACAAAGGTCCGGGTTTCTGCATCAGTGATGCAGGCTGTCTATCAAGTCTATCCCATCATCCACACACTAAAAAGACAGAATCTCACGTAGTTCAGGCTGGCCGCAAACTCTTGTAGTTAAGAATGTAGATCCTGAACTCCTTCAACTCCTAACCTTCCCTCCTCCACCTCCCAAATGCTGGTATCACGGGCATGTGCCACCACACCAGGTTTATGAGGTGCTGGGATTATATCAACGCTGGGCAAGCACTCTACCAACGCACCTACATCTCCAACTCCACTACACAATCTTTACCTGAGTCTACTATAACTCGAAAATCTAGCTGTGGGCAGGAGAGATAGCTCAGCCTTTAAAGGCTAGGCTCACAACCAAAACTATAAGAGTTCGGTTCCCAGCGCCCACAGCTGTCCCTCTAGCCACCAAAAAAACCTAGATGTAACATTGCCAAAAAAACGCTGAAAAAAAAGTGGGTTTTGTAACTTATTGGGGGAGGGGAGGTGACCTGACTTTACTTGGCAGCAAAATTTGACATGAGTGAGAAAATGGAACTAAACTTCCAGACGACATCCAAGTGCAGGACAGGGGATGGGTACAAATGTGATGATTTGCTACTTCTGGAAACCAGGTCCTGCCTCCTTCCCTGAAAGTCTACCTTCTAGGATCAAAATCTGGCAGAAAGAAAAGGGAAGCTGTCCAAAGGTTTCATGTCTGTCAACAGAGCACTAGGTGAATGAACTATTTACATATTACAATACTATAAACAAACAGTAATGGGATTCACACAGCAGGTACAGTGGTGCGTATCAATAATCACAACTACTCAGGAGGCTGAGGCCACATGAACCACATGTGGAGGACCACATGAACACAGGTTCAAGACCTGCCAGGGTGACACAAGAGAAACTATGTCCAGAAGAGACAAAAGGCTCTGAGTGAAAACTTAATAAAAGCATGAACTAACAGTAACAGTAAAAAGCAGTAAGCAGCAGTAACCTGGAATCCACCACAGTTAGTGCTCAAAAATGTCTAGTTAGTGTGAACACATAAAGCCTTTCGAAGGTGATCCTAACAAGTCAGAAACCTACTGTCTCAAATTCTAGCTCCTCCCTCCCTGTTCAGGCCCATCACCTAACACCCGCATTCTGCCCTAGCCATTCTGAATACTGGAACTGCCCACTCCACAGCTATGCTCTAAGTATGTGGTCCTTGGTACACACACCGCACTCCCAATCTAAGTCTGACAGCCAACATTCCTACTTGTTCCTCAAGATTTAATCTAAATAGCGACTACTTGATAAAACTTCTGACATCAAAGTTCAAACTAATCACATTGTCTAGCTTGTGTTTTCCTACCAGTATTTCAGACTCTAACTCACCAAGTTCACTGATATCCACAGCACGTAGCACATAATCATTCAAACAAGTCTTTTTAGGTCTGGAGATGGGGCTCAGGGATTAAGACAGTATGCTGGCTTGCAGAGGACCTGAGTGAAAGGCATGGAGCTTTGAGTATAAACCCAGCATTCAGCAGGCTGAAAAAAAGGATCACACAAAGTTGTGGGCCAGCCTGATCTATACAGTAAGCTTGAGGCCATCTAAACTACAATGCAAGATTCCACCTTTAATTTTTTTTTTAATCCACTTATTTTATACTCACTGTTAAATGACCTTCAGCTCTCACAGAGTTACAAAAAGTATGCTAACATGGCTAAAAACTTGGAGCTGAAACCACACAAAGATGCAACAAAGAAAGAGAACTACAGACCAATCTCCCTCATGAACATTGATGCAAAAATACTCAACAAAATATTGGCAAACCGAATCCAAGAATACATCAAAACAATTATCCATCACGACCAAGTAGGATTCATCCCAGGAATGCAAGGATGGTTCAACATACGAAAATCAGTCAATGTAA